TTACAGGTAACCTCATGATTCTAAATGTATTTTGCTGATGTTCGGTGATCGGAGTGATTTCTCCCATAATTAGATATTATATATGATATTGTGTTTATACCCTGATTAGAAGCAAGAAGAAGAAGAAGAAGAAGAAGAAGAAGAAGAAGAAGAAGAAGAAGGAGAGAGAGAGAGAGAGAAGTTAATATCTTCACAAGGAGACTCTTGTGTTTATACCCGGATTAGAAGCAAGAAGAAGAGAGAGGTTAATATATTGCATACTGCATTAGATGCAAGAAGAAGAAGAAGGTAAATATACTACATACTGCATCATGCATTAGAAGCAAGAAGAAGAAAGAACCAATTAAGTCGGAAACTCCTGCGTTTATACCCGGATTAGAAACAAGAAGAAGAGAGAAGTATAGAAGTTAGAACGGTATTGTGTCCCATCGGGTGACCAAGAGGATAAGTAAGTATAAGTAATACTACATTAGAAGCAAGAAGAAGAAACAACCGTCGGAAACTTTTCCCCGGGCAGTGCCGGGTCTATATTCGAGAGAGAGAGAGAGAGAGAGAGAGAGAGAGCGAGAGAGAGAGGGGGGGAGGAAGAGGGAAAGAAGAAGCGGGACAAAGCGAGACAGAGAGAGGGGGGGAGAAGAGGAAGAGGAAATATATATAACTAATACTAATATACACACGTGACAACACGTGACTAATAAGTATTCTTAAAACCATAAATCCGTTTTCGATCGAAATGATTTTTGAAATGTATAGCTTCTTCGGCGAATACAAATAATTTACGTATATTAAACAACTGTATACTATATATACGTACACCCACAATAGGCGCATAGAGACGAGGCTTGAGATCTGATTATAGCTTCGACACTTTGCGTTGCCATTTCTAGCGCGTCTCACCAGAATTCCCGCCTCACCTTGTGCGTCAATGCCAACATCCCGCAAACTATCCATTCATTTATTCATTCGGGTATTTCTTTCTAATTCAACCGCTATTTGCAGTTCCGCGGTCCAAACATTCGTTTATATTGCAGTGACGAATAACCATTCGATAAACGAAGCTATAAACTTATATATGGTGCGGGTTACTCTGCGTGTATAGGGAACAGCTAGAGTAGTGCGGTACTGTGGGTGGGCGTGGGGTGGGGGTGGGGAGGGGTGGGGGTGGGAGTGGGGAGGGGTGGGGGTTGGAGGGATGCTGGCGGTGAGCTGCATGGGGTGAGGTGAAGATGGGGGTGGGGGGTCTTAGTGAATAATCGTGAACTAAAAATCAAGACGTGTAGCTTATTAATAAAATATAGAATTAATTCTCGCTGGGTGTGCGCGATTTCATTATAAGATGCGTCTATATACGTCTATATGTTTCTTTCTTAGTCACCAATGATTGCTGTTCCCGCATGCAGAGTATTACCGCACTCTGGCCTTTTATTTGACCCTTAATTAATGTAACTGAACTCTTTATTTCATCAGGAGTACACAATAGGGTATTTTCTATCAATGTATTATAACCCCACCACCAATTATTTACCCCTGACATGATATTAGATAAGAGCGCTTAACTATCGGTTTCATACAAATTTTGAGTTGCCAATATGCTCGTCGTCGATTGGTTTAGCAAAAGGATAACTCTCTGATAGTAGGTGTGTAGGAAGGTGTATAGTTGCTTTAGTAGCACATACGGAGGGGGAGGTAAGAAGTGCAATGGTACGCGGGGCGGCGGCGGCGGCGGGGGGGGGGTTCTAAGCCAGGGGTCCGTACGTAGATAGAAAGTGCCGCTGCTGCCGCTGTTTTGATGGTACGTAGAGGAGCAGTGCCATCTTGTTTTCTTTTCCTTTCTCTTTGTTGCTCGTTCGGTCCACGGTTCGGTCGGCCCCTTGCGTCGTTTGACGGTCACGCTTTGTTTACAGAGAAAACCGGCGGTGACAAGAGGCAGCTTTGAGAACAAGAGATAGCTTTGACAACAAGAACGACTATTCACGTCCGTAATCCTGTCTTTTCACGTCCCTTTATTTGTCATATATATATATATATATGTGTGTGTGTGTGTGTGTGTGTGTGTGTGTGTGTGTGTGTGTGTGTGTGT